AAGCCGGGAAAGTGAGTCATATTTCCACGTACGCGCGACGACCCCTTCGTTTCCGAGGATTGTACACGTTGAACAAAAATATCTTAGAACCCGTGTGGGCTGTGATAAACCACATTTACGTATGCATTTGACTTTTATATGCCGCGAAATGAAGAACATGAAAATGCAACATATATTTAATATAAACATTGGAAACCTCGGCAATTCGCAACTACAGCTCCAAAACTCGAGCGATATGTTCTTTTCGGTTTTGAAGCGAGATATAAGAAGTGTAATGTAATTCGAAGTGAAAGAAATCCTGAATCAAAAATATATGCCAGGAAAGTCTCGGAAAATATTCTTTCCTGAAATAAATGTATAAAGAATTTCTGACATTTTATGATGATGTGATTACACATAATATTGTATTATTTGTGGATTCTAACTTCTCATTAAAGAAGAATAAAGCACGAAGGAACATAGCTGTAACAGAATAGTATCTTTCTTTATTTTTTAGCAAATTTATTTCATTCTTACGAAATTATGAAATAGTCGGTAATACAAAAAAGCACTTAGAACAAACCACCCTGCAAAATTATGACTGACCTAATCTTAAAATCTTTCCACACAATGTATCTGGATTAAAAACAAACAAATTATTATGTGGTGTACCTTTTTGTGAAACTGTTTTAATTATTTCTTGACCCATAATACCTCCAACAATGGCACACACTGGACTAATTTGTGCGTATAAATCACCCCTGAATCAATGATAAATTTTACTATATAGTTTTTAATAGATTAAACGTAAACTTTTTAAATAATATAACAATTTTTCTAATACATACTCGACTAAATGATTTATTTTATCCTCAAGATCGTATTTTTTAATAATTTCTGCAGCTTCAGCCGCAAAATCTTCAGAACCTCTTTCACTGGGCAATGGATCTTTGCCATACTTTTCACGATAATTGAGCATTACTAAAATAAGAATAGATAATATAAAAGTGTCGTTACTATTATAAAAATATTTTTCCAAAACACTTACTTAGTATCATATAATATATTTCTGAATCTTTAGGAAGAGAAGATTTTGTAATATTTAAAATTGATTTAAAAGGTACAAAAGTGTCTACGTGTCTTTCAGTTACAACGATATTTTCAAATTTGTCCTTTTGCATAGGTTCACCGCTTTCCGAGATTTGTATTTTCTTTGTTTGTATTACATCTCTGTGAAATAAAATAATTCTTGCTTTTAATAACTTACGTACATTAACAAAACCACTTCCAAAAACTTGATTTAGAAATCTACTTACTCCGCATATTCATGAGTCATTAAATCAGCAAAAGTATAACCTAGCGATCCCCATACATCTCCACTAAAGAACTTAGTATTATGTTTTCTACATGCCTCGTTAATCCTCTTTATTTGCGTTATAGTACATTGTGTTGCACAGACTACATTGAATTTGCTAAAATACTTATCTGGTTTATCGTCAACATTAGATGTATCTGCTTCTACATTAACCATAGGGTTTAGACTTTGTGCTCTCTGCACAGATGCTTCAGCTCTCTATGAACATGATATTCATATAAATAATATACCTTCCTCTATATCTGAAGTTGTTTACCTACATTTTTTCCAAGTAATTCTCTAGGTGCTAAAAATTGTGAGCACCGATCCTGAACTGTCACATTTCTATGATCCAAAAATGTAATTGCTTTAACGCCTGCTAAAATAATGTTTTTTGCTATTTCTGCTCCATATCCATTCAGGCCTATTAATAAAATTTTCGCCTCTCGTAGCCTATAATTGTTTAATATTACACATCAACTCAAAAAACACTTATAAATCGAATGTTTATATCCCGGTAATTAAGTATATATTGCTAATGTATTTCTTAATTAATTGTATAAAACAATAACGTATATTGTATTTTGAAACTTCAGAAATTTTAGGTTAGATTGTATTTTACTTGCCGTTTCTGTGATTCTAAACCCCATAAGCGAATTTGTCTATCGTATAATTCAGCTTCATGGTCTGTTAGTTCTACATTTTGGCTTTTGTCTCCAACCATATTCAAAAATGTGATTTAATACTTGAAAATCTACTACCGCCAAAATCACAATCCAAAATTTCGCCGACGTCTACGTCTCGTAGAATACAGCCAACATAACAATATATTAATTCAAATAATAAGAGCAGGCAACAATCATTCAGTACTCAATAAATTATAATACTTGATGTAATTGATTTACCCAACAAAATTTTGTTTGTTAATTCTATACGTTCGAAATATAACGTAGTAAACAACATACTCTATACATACTTAAACGATATACATAATGTTTAGGTTGGTCGAACTGGTGATCAAATGATTGGAGGGCGTTAAATGGTTTCTACGATTGTTATGTATGTGTTTCATTTGTTCGTTTAGAATGTTTTACTTGAAACAAATCAGAAACAAGCTTTCCACGTGACAACACGCTTGACAAGGTAAGGATAGCTAACTTCGAAAGTATAAACATCTTGCAAATATAATTTTCAAGGTTTAGATTAGTAGTCATAAGTAAAGAGATGTAGCAAATATATTAATTTAATATGATATCTGCTGTTTTACATATATTTTTAAAAGCATTTACATTCCATGGGAATCTAAAATAAATGTTGCTAGAGTTTTAAATCATTACTCAATAGTACATTCATCGAAATAATTATTTATAAACAAATCAGAGACCTTTCTACTAGCGCCCTCATAAGTCGGTAAGAAAAGTTGAAAGACATATTTATTTCAAAAAATTGCACATAACACAGTGTACAGAATACACTTAAAAATGCTTGATATCGAATTTTATTATAAACATTTTTAATTGCATTAAAATTACTTGTTGCATGTTTTTAATTGACTTTTTTATAAGAGTAATCTCGGATTTATATGCGTTTGATAACAAGTTTATCTGAAAGCCAAATCTAAAGCCATTACAATTAATACATGAAAATAATTGTTTTTAATATATTATAGATAAGAGGTGCAATCAGAGGTGTTTCTATAACTTATCGTTGACCTTATGACCGGAATATTGTGAAAGCAGATCTCTGCAAAACATTATTGACTACAGAGAAATAAGCTGACCTTCCTCTTTATTATTCCTGATATTTTAAGAGTTAAATGTTAAATTAAGTTAATTTTTTTTTTTACATAATTTCTTTTATAAAAACTAACTAAAGATTTCTTTCTCTTTATCTCTCTTTCTTTAGAAAATAAATATCTGGGCTGTAAAGTATAATGAAAGACTATACTAGAAGATATGAATATGCCTGAGGATGAGTATATAGAGAAAACATTTATATATAAATTTCCAACATGTACTACAAACCAAGAATATGTATTGGAAGTTCCATTAAAGATACCTTATCGTGGAAATGTCAAGGAACTTATGCACCGTATAATGTCATCTTTTAAATTGCCATGCTATGTGGAATTAGACCTATTGGAATCATTGGAGCATACTATTAAAACATTAACATTAGAATTTTATGATGAGAAAGCAGAAAAAGCTCTTGAAAATGCAAAATCTGGGACCTTAGATATTGAAGATATAATTAAAAACTGGGAAAAAATCTATAAGCAGAAAACAGTAGAATATGCTGATCCTATTGGAACAACGGACGAAGAATTGTTTGCTGTTGCATATCATAGATTGGTACACTCTCCATCATTAGAGCCTATCCTTCAAGCGGAACATAAACATGGAAGAGAAGTAACTGAAGTTATTCAGATGAGGGACTCCCAATATGAACAACTTACTCAAAAGTTAGTAGCAATATTGTATTATGTTGTACATATTGTTTTGTATGTACAGAATGCTTTGTACGTATTATTTTTTATGTTCTTCTGTTTACATATTACACTACAAAATAAAGACCAAATTCATATACTAGTATCTATTTATATTACACACAGCAGTTCATGTAATATAAATTATCACTTGCATTGACCTTTCATGTAGATTATTAACAGCTTCAATATAAGTCAACAGTCATTTTTTTATAATTGAACCTTGTACTCTATGCTCCCTATTTCCGGACTATATCTTTTGATTATAATGATAGTGATATGCATGAATGTCATTTACAGAATATAAAAACTGAAATGCAGTTAACTCATCTCTATCTAACATAAATAAAAGTAGAGCTCCAATTAAAATTTTCTGATATTTTAACATTTTTGTTTTGACCTGTAATTGTACAAATACAAATGATCCAATATTGATTTTGAAACACAAATAACTCGTCTTTATTCCACGAATGCATGAAGAAAAGAAGAGAACAGAGAAACATCAGAAAAATGAATTTTAGGCAAACTGAGGAGATGCGAGTCGCTGTAGAAGCTCTCGAAGCTGGTTCTACCGAAAAATCTATAAACGAGATGGCGGGACGACATTTTGAGGAACAAAGTTTATTGCAAGGTCACTGGGGGTCAAGAGTTGACGCACTTAAATTAGAACAAAGGCGACAATATCGTAACTGGATCATGAGGTTACTCGAAGAGCAGCAGACTAACATGTTGCCGAGTCCAGTGTACGTATATATAAATATAATGAATAGACATGCGATATGGGCTTGGTAATTATAGATTATATGACTATTAGGGGTTCTCCAATTCTGACGATGCCACCGATACGACCGGCGTTAGACAATTTTGTTCATAGCGAAGAGAAGAACACGGCTGAATACCCTATCTTGGAAGAAAGTTTCACTATACATTTGGGTTCCCAGATGAAACAGATGCACAATATACGTATACTGACAGGCGATGTTTTAGATTTTTGTAGAACAAAAAAGAGCGAGTCTGGGTTGGTAAATTAGAAAAAACAAAAACAAAAAAGACACTACGATTACCTTGTATTAAAATTCAGTTTGAAAAAAAGCATTTCGTTTCTTTTAAAATAGAATGGATCCAACGCCTCAAAGACTACAGACTGCTCTTGGATTATATTCTAATGATTTGTGTGGATTAGTATTATTGAGCGACAATCATTTAGGAAGTTATTCGGGAATAACGAAAGGTATCACTTTATTTTGTTGAGTACTAAATTAACAAGTGCTATTGTTCGATTATACATATCTTATTAACAATCAAATTTTCTTTTAGAATTATGTTCAATATGTCAATTAACGACAGAGTTTCACTTCCCACCAATCGATGAACAACTAGAAAAAATTCGAGAGGATGTGAAAGATGCTGTTGCCTGGAGGCAAGCGCATCACAAAGAAGGAAACGATTCACAAGTACGTAAAAGTAAACTAAAAAGAAAGTAGATATTGATATCTCATCCAATTCAGTCTAAATGCATCTTTTTTCTACAGACAAAAAGATCAACGGGCAGCAAAAGTTTACAGACAGGCGATGTTTATATTACGAGGCATTCAAATTTAGCGCAAGTTCATGTAATTTTCCACATGGTAGTGAACGATTCATTGCGATCTGGTGAGTAATAAATATGTATTTATTTCGCTACAGATGCTTCATGTTGATAACAGTTTTACTTAATTTACAGGCGATATCAATTCGAGGCACCCGGCCATTTTAGGATTACGAAATATTTTGAAAACTGCTTGTTGCAACGATGTAACCACACTAACTATTCCAATACTTCTTGTTCATGAAATGTCGGAGGTATATTTCAGTTAAAAAAAGTAATCTCTGTACTAATTCTTTGTTGAGAAATATTATCTAATTATAGTAAATGATTAATAATATTAAATTATAAATCTTATTTTATTGTTCTAGGATATGACTGTTGCGTGGTGTACAAAGAGAGCAGAATTAGTTTTCAAATGTGTAAAAGGGTTCATGATAGAAATGGCATCTTGGGGTGGTGCTGAATTGAAGAATCTGCAATTTCTGGTACCAAAGGTGATTTAATTTGAACCCGAAAGATGCATTACAACAAATGATAGTTCCATGTAATTAACAACTTTTTTTATCAAATATTTGTATTTTCTAGGGAATGTCAGAGGAAGTATTCGGTACCCTAGCTACAATGTTACCGAGCATATTCCGAGTATCGAATCCTTTGGTGTTCAAAGCGACAAGCACACCTCAAACTCCAAAAAAGTGAATGACCCTCTTGCCACTGTTATTGTACACGCGTCGAAAATATTAAAGTATTTGTTGTTATATATACGTATATCACACATCTTGGCGGCAATAATTCATCGCTGGCGCGAATACTATATAAGATATGCTCGAATCTTGACAAACTGTTTCATTTATATTATATTTACACAATTGATTTTCCAAGATAAATTTTCCAATCGATAGCCAATATCTGTGCGTTCGTCGTACGTCAGACTTCCCTAATAAACTATGTTAACCTTTCAACGATTAAAGTTCTAACTCGATGATCTTACATAATATATTTAAAGTTGATGCTCAAGTAAAATGAAAGACATGATGGTCTAAACGTACAATCTCTGACAAATCAATCCATTAAACGGTATTACATATATCTCTAATTACAACAATTTGTAATACCCTAGTAAAAAAGATATTGAATCTTATCTTACCCGTCTTTAGTATCACACTTTCAAGATGAAAAAAAATGTACATTGCTGATATAAGATTTTAAATTAGAAGGAGAAAAAGAAAAAATCATCAAAAGATGAGTCGTATCACAGGCATGAAACAAAAAGCATTGAACTTTATATTAATTGCAATAAAACTATAGCGCAACGCATTATCGTAGCCTACATGCTTGGTGGAGCCAACTTTATCGCGACGTTGGGAGTTAACCAGATATGCTTCAACGTTTCCGTCGACTGTCTAATAATTAGTCGTGCATTCGAGTACAATGATATCAATGGTGCATCGTCGTCATATGCCAACCATTCCTGTTTCTTTTCTCTACCTCCATCCGATATTTTTTTTTTTTAATTGTCCCGCGTTTAATGGCAATAAGTTTTGTCGCGCGATATCGTAGTGCGAATATAAATTAATTGAAAAAACACGCGATTAATGGGAAGAAAAAAGCAAACGCAGGGCAGACCATAAGAGCGGATCGGGGACGTAATCTCGCTTTATCGAAAAAGTGGTGCGTTAGCCTTTCGGATTCTGAACTGTTCGAGAACGGATTAACACGATGCGCGCCCCGTGAATCCATTCGAAAGGACATTTGAAGAATTTTTTTTTACATTTCACGTTCGCCAGCAGCGTTGTGCAAGTCGTTTAATAAACGTGACCATGGTGTAAAATTGATGGAAAAATTGAAGAGAAATTGAAAATTCAAAAAGAAACTCAATGGCAAATTTTGACTGAAATATCGAATGAAAAGTGTATAAATATTAATATATGTAATAATATCGTGAGAAGGATTCGACTGAATAATTCAAATTTTAAGGAACACGATACTTATATTTTATCATTGGCAACAAACCAAAAATTATTACTGAGAATTACCACGAAGAATTAAATAATTCGAAAGTTTTTCGTAATAATTATCGATTAAATTCGTAGTAATTATCGATCTGATTTTTTTTTTATTTGCAACTAAATTTATTGCAGGCGAAGTTTATACTTTACGTGATGTGAAGGAAATTAAATCATTTATAAGTTGTGTAAGAAAGTTAAAAGTTAAAGTATAAGTAAAGTAATAAAATGATAAAATAAATAAAATTCTAAAGTATAATAAAGTGGTTCGAATATCGCTGAAAGATTTCCATAAAGCAATAAAGCTTATAAAATACGGCGCGAAAAAGAGGGAAATCGGTCAAGCAACTGCATCAGGATGTTGAGGCCCCTCCTGATCCCCTCTTAATTCGGCACTGTAATCATGAGCAGAGTATGCCGCGGATGAATTCGTTGCCATTCCATCGGATCGTTGTGTGAGAGGCATAGTTGAAACTAGACGGTCCCGACGTGATCGATTTAAACGAAATCAAAGTTCCATCACGTCTATCTGTGTACCACATACTCATCCACCACCTGGACAATGTGGCTCAGGGCTATCACAATCCTCGTTTTAATTGCTTCCACGACTTCGAAGAAATTGGTGGGTCTATACACGCGACGTTTTGACACTTGATCTGATAACGATTCGCGAGCCGTTTGGTGACATTTCTTTTTAATTTCGTTCCCCAAATCGTTTGTGTACACAACTTTTTTACTTATTCATTGTGTACGATACGTAGTAATTTTGAATTTTGAATTGTACGTTGTCCGTTGTTATAATATTTGTATGTGGCACCGATAACGGTTTTATTGGTCGTTTGATGATGATTTAAATAATTACGTATAGAGGATTATGTATTATATTGCATTGTATCACGATATTGCATTGTAGCCGCGACTTTTTAAATTGTAATGGCACTTACTGTGACGTAACGACGCGCCAAAATTCGTTTCCTCGCATCTCTTAAAATTGGCGCGAATGACACATGCAGGAACAATGTCGAAATTTTCCGTTTATTTTTCTCCTCACTTCGTGCAGGAATAACGTTTCTTTGAAATCTTATTTCTCTTTCTCTGCACATCGTAGGTGGATCTGTCCGAGCGTGGTTTGAAGAAAGAAGACTTTTTCATGAGGATTCAATCACAGATTAATCTGCAAGAAGTTACCGATCTCATCCTAAGGAAGAACGAATTTGACAGTTTCCTTGATTGTTCTACTAACCTTGCAAATTTGGAAATATTGGATCTGTCGCAGAATCATCTTCAAAGGTTCTTCTTCCTTTGCAAAGACGAGTATAATTTACGAGTATTAAACGTCAGCCATAACAAACTCGAATATATCGACGACAATGCCTTCAACGATCGAATCCCGAAGCTCAAGATACTCGATCTCTCGTCGAACAAACTATCTATCGTTAACGAAACTATGTTGGAGCATTTCAAAGTAACTGTCTCTTATCTTATAATATACAAGTTGAAAAATGAATATATTGTAAACGATTCGTGTCTTTTAGATTTTGGAATATCTTACGTTAGCCAACAATCCGATCAACGATGGAATCCATGAAAACGCTTTCTGGAACTTAAAGGCGCTGCGATATTTGAATTTGAGCAACGTATCGTCGTCGTATTTCTCCTCGGAGTTTTTCAAAACGCTAACTAACTTATCTACCCTAGATTTATCGACGAATCCCATCAGTAAGGTTCCATCGCTACCAGTCAATCTAGAAGAGCTCGACTTGTCCAACACTCATATATCACGACTACGAGACGTTTATTTGCCTCGGTTACGAGAACTGAAACTGAATAACATGCAAAATCTGAGAGAGTTATTACTTAACGATTTCGAAAACTTGACCAGTTTAGAAATACTGTCTTTAGATGATTCGAGAACATTAATGTCCTTAAAAATGATCCCATATAACGATCGTCTTCTACCACGATTGCAACGGCTCTCGGTAAGCAACTGCGGACTGAGAACCTTGGATTACAACCTCATGTCGATAATAAAGAGAACACCGATTTTGAGCTTTGAAAACAATCCTTGGCATTGCGACTGTAAAATGCAGTGGCTAAATATGTTAAACGCTACGAAGGCTCTTAGTCGACAAATTAAGTAAGTAAAATCTGTCGAACACTCAACCTAATCTTTTCATCGAATAACAGCCGATAGTTTGAAGCATCGAGCAGCAAATGACAAAGGCTTTTTCGAATTTAGTATAGATGTCTCTGCTACTACTAAAATTATTTTTTTTATTAACTTTTTAACACATTTACATGCTACTTAAGCTAATACTCTGTTACAATATTAAATACCTTATCCCATATACGGAAAATTATTTTCCTTCGTTCACCTAACATATTTAAAACCCAGTAAAAAGATATTTTTCTTTACTATGGTGGAACTTCCTTCGTCTAAATTTATCAGAGCATAAACAATCGATATAATTGGAGTTCGTCGATCATTCCATCTATCGTTTTTCATTCGCACGATATAGCTCGTTTTATAATAACAACAGCTCGCGTTTAAATTATCTAAAATTTCGTTTCGATGAATCGAGTTTATACGGAAAATACAACTGCTTCATCTCTGTCACAGGTGCAGAACTCCCGAACAACACTCGAACAGACAGCTAAACGAGATACCAAGTCACGAGCTGGAATGCGAGGACGATGCAACGATGCTACATCCAGTGTTGTGGGCCTGCATTTTTATATTGGTCGTGGCAATTGTCTTGGCTGCGGGCTTTTTCCTGTTGAGACGACCGCTCGGTCACTGGGACATCAGGCGAAAGAACCGGGACACGGTGACCTACACGAACGTCGACGAGTCCTCGAACGACTTGGTGAGAATCCTGGCGGCCAACGAAACGGTCGAACGAAACGACGAGTGAATGAACACGGAAGAACGATATACTAGAAATGTATTAACTTAGGCTAAGCGATACAGTTTCTCGACGAAGGAACAAAACGATAGCTAGGAACTAGGTCTGGTTCCGCAGCCACGAAACTAACCGAGTTCCGTACGAAATAACGTACAGGATGTTTCAAGATTGGGAAGTCATTTTAACGACGGTCGAAGAATGATTTTACATATAGGGTGTAGTTCGAAAGTAAGGAGGAGTGGTAATTTCTTACGCAAAAACAAATAAAAGACAGGGAATAAAATAGAATTTTTGCAACAAAAGATTCTCAAAGAGATCAATCTTCAACACGTAATTAAGTACTGTACGTTGCTGGTAAATTGACCAATAAGACCCGCATTTCTTCCGAATGCCAACCAACCAACAACGTGCATGTAGTTAATTGTAAGATACGGTTATTGTTTTTTGCGAAATCTGACCACGCAATTTTTACGAGTTATTGGATCCGAAAAAGCAGAAAGAGAAATTTGATTAATGACTATCTGAGCCATGTAAACGCGCATACGTATGCGGCCGACAGTTTACACGAAACAAGCTTTATCCTGCGCTCTTAATTTATCTTTGTATAAAGAACCAATCGTCCGTCTACTCGTACAATACGTTCATATCGAATATTATATACAAAGTTGGTATCTAAAACCTAGCGTAAGAAGCTTAAGTTGCAGAAGCTAATCTAATCCACAGGAATATATCAATTTGAAGGCGTCGAAGTATGAATCGCACGTATCGTTGATGTTTTGAACATTTCGTACAGATATCGATATCTTGGCGAGAAAGTTCGCGAACTTTCATCGATTAACGCTTGTTTCTCGTTGTCCGATAAAATTTCATCGATGATCGAGCGTCGCCAATGTTGAAACATCCTCTACGGCTAATTTTC